GAAACCGCCAAGACCGAGGGGGGGGGGGGGGGGGGGGCGTACTCTTATGTTTTGCGTGCCTTAGGGTTAGACCATTGACCACGCGTCCTCGAGAGGACGGAGCACTGTTCCCACAGGACCGATCACCGATGGCCAATCGTTCCTTCCTACTTTGCCAAAGGTGGCTCAAAAATTTTTTCCTTATTTTGTTTTTCCAAACGATATCTTTTCCCCCTTTTTCAAACCACTTCCTTTTTCAAGAGCAGGGGGGGGGGGGGGGGTGTACTCATAGTCGTGCATGCCGTAGTCGTTTGACCATTGACCTCGCATCCCTACAAAGCCGGGACGGAGCACGCCGGGTTCTCACCGGACCAGGCTCTCACATCACCAAGCGCGAAGCGCCGTGAGGTATTTGGCGAGTCGCATGAAGGGTGAGCTGCATCCTGCTAAGGGTGTTCGGCATCTTGTGCTTACTTCCTTGGGTACGGATGACAGCTGCGTATGACTTAATTTATTTTCTGGTGCTTTCACTTCCAGAGACAGTTGTAAGCACTGTGTAACTGCCTCGAGGATGCTTGACCATTTTAACACGACGTGGTGCGATCATCCCTCTTGAGCGGATTGAGGGTTTTCCACCCCGCACAACATGATCTACTCGACCACCATGATGGTTACCGCAAAAAAAAAAAAACAGAGGTAAAAAAAAAAACGGTAACCTGGTTGCCGAGTTCACGAAGTGAATTGGCTTGTTTTACAACGTCGTTGCCAAGCGACGAAAATCCAACCCCGATGACAAACACCGGGGGGGGAGGCCGACCAGGGGGGGGGGGGGGGCATCAACCCCGCTTATCAAGTGTGCGGCACTATTCTTGAACGTTGGTTCCCTCAGATGCCTACGAATGTTGATCCCACGGGAGTCAGTCTCGGATTGCACCTCAGGGGGCGTATTGTGTTCTCCTCCGTCGTGTTGGCGGAGCACAGGGAAACAACGCAATCAATGACGTCATCAAATCAAAAACTCCCAACAGTAGACGAAGACGAGGGGAACTACTATTTATGCAACGGTTTCTTCCTACACCTGCTTTCGGGAATCTAGGTCGTAGAACTAGCTTGTCTTCGTTAAATTTATCTAGTCCCCACATTGTACGGCAGTTACTACATAGTGCTGTTACACTACTATACGAGAGTTGCCTTAACCTTATCTTTGACGAATCTGGTACCACATACATGCGGCAGTTACATAGTACTGTCTGTTTGAGAACCACATACATGCGGCAGTTTACAAACAATAGTGCTGGTAGTCTGTTCGAGAGCGTACCTTGACGTTGTGCGCGAAAAGGCGGTGCAGCCTGGCCCCCACAGGACGAAGCTCCTCCCCGAAGGACTGCATGCCGTTGCGCACGCAGACGTCCGCCGCATCCCCTCCGGCGACCATCCCCTTCAGGGACAGAAGAACGCGCTTGAAGAACACGCGGAAAACCTGGGAGGAGCGGCGCGCGTTGTGCATGAAACCGGTATTCTGTGTTAGCACGTACACATAAATATTTTATACAAACAATAAAATGAAAAAAAGAGAAACACACACGCATAAACGTAAAAAAACATCGAGGGAAGCAGGGCGGGTGCATGGCCAGGGATGGGCAGTGCAAAGCGATGGTTGATGCACTTTTCGGTAGCTTGCTCGGGTCGATGCCAAACGCCCCCTGGGGCGCTGACAGATGCAAAACCTCGCACAGAACGAAAACAGAGCAACCGCCTCGGGGAGGCTTCTCGGAGTTGTCCCAATGAACGAATCAGCCTGCGGCGGCGGCGGCCGCGGCGGCGACGAAGGACGTGCACAAACGCCGAATCTTGAGGCAAAGCTGCTGCCTCGAAGCAGCAAGCAACTCATGTAACGTGCTACATAATGTGGTATGACCATGCGGTTTACCTCGTTGTTGGGGTCGGCACTGCTCATGAGCAAGCTCCTTAGCCCTTCCTCCTCGGCGGGGGGCAGGCCTGACAAACGGCGAAGGTAGGTAATAGCGATTGTTGCGTTAAAATTGGCAGGAACAGACAAAACGTTTGGTTGCGGCGGGTCCTCCGTGGACGAAGATACCATGGGGAGAGGGTTATGGTGATCAAGGTTTTTGAAAGGAAGGGTGGTTTCGTGGTGGTAAGAAGTCGGTTTTGTGTGTTTTCGGCGAGAGTTATCGATGAGCGAGAAGAGAGGGGTGCCAGATTCTGGCCAAAAGGAGTCAACGAGAGGAAGCGGTCAGCGGGTTGATACCCGAGACCGAATTCGGGGAAACGTATCGAGGTGTGTCACCTCATACGCCACACTACCATGCGCCGATGGTCACGCGTGCTTGTGTCGCTGCTCGGCGAAAGAAAAGACAACCAAACACTGTCAAAAGCCGTGGTTGGTAGCACGCTCCCCATATTCTCGAGGTTTGCTTCGAACCCTGTTGTGGATGGAGTCTCTCCTCCACGTGCCGACACTCATATAAAAAACCTTGAAGACAGTCTAATGGATTGGACTGGGAGGGGACATACCGATACGTTACCCTACCAGCCCATCATCATGCCAATCGCCTCAGAGCACCGGTTTGACACGTTGCCTGTGGGCATCATTAGTGCTCTCGGCATATTTGTCCGATCTGCGACCGCCCCCCCCGCCGGCTGCGGCAAAAAAGCCAGCACCCAGCAATAGTAAAAGATAACAGGTTCCCGTTCGCCCCCGAATCAACGATGCCGGCGTTTCGAAAAGGGTTAAAACCCGGGGGCAACAGCGTGCGCGAGAGCGGTGGCACCACCGCGAGTAGCAGCAGCAGCGGCAGCAGTAGCAGCAGCAACAACAACAGCAGCAACAATGCAACATTGCAACAACAACAACAACAACAACAACAACAACAACAACAACGCGGCACCCATCAGCAGCAGGAACAAACCCCAACGTCTTCCTTTCCCTACCAGGCTGGCGAGACGCGTGGATTGACATACATACCTGGAGGAGATTCTGCAGCCCCCCCTCCCTCCTTTGAAGCGGACGACGCCAGACGCCTAGACGTTGCCACGCACTCCTCCACTATCTGCGGCAGGAGCACGCCTTGCTGCTTTAGGAGGCCGCTAGTCTTCGCCTACACCCCAGGAACAGCACAAGAGAAGAAAGAAGGGCGAGCATATAGTAACGCCATGCGATGCACTAATACACAGCAACACGGAGGAGAATATTGAGAACAAAGAGAGACGATCTCGGCTAAATAACGAGCCGGGACTAGAACAACAACAGAGGAACACCACGGCGATTTACATAGCAACGCCTTTCGAAAACGTTGGGCAGGGAATTGCTCCTATGCACACGCCGCTGTAGGTTTTCAGGGCCACGTTGTCTTGCAAGGGAAGCAAGCTCACGGTGGTTGTAGCTATCATTGTGGAGGGAAACGTTTGGGAGACGGTGGCGGACTGGCACTACATACGCGTGTGCGTCCCAACGCACGGCCGGCGGGATCTCGCAGGAAATTTTAATGTTTTCAAGCCAAACCCTCGAACCCGAGCCCCAACCTCACCAAGCCCCACACACCTTGCCAGAAAACAAAGCACGCACCTGTAAGGCCGCCATCGCCGGAGCCGGGCACCCAATACGCAGCCGTGCCAGCACCTTTAGCGTAATCCAAGAGGGGAGGGGGGGGGGGGGGGGGGTACCTCTTTTTTTTTGCATGCCGGAGGGGTAGACCCCTTACCCCCCCGCCCCCAAAGGAGGGGGACATTTTTCCACCGGACCCAACACCCAAGGGCCAACCTTCCCTTCCATCTTGGCCAAGGGGGGTCCAAAAAATCCTCCCCTATTTGTTTTTTCCTAAGAATTCCCCTTCCCCCCTTTTTAAACCCCTCCTTCCCCCCCCGAAAGGTACCCCCCCCCCCCCTTTTTTCCTATCCTCAAAAATCTCCCCGGACCCCCCCCTTTTGGGGGGGGGGGGGGGGGGAAACCCCGGGGAAATTTTGGGGGGGGGGGGGGGG